CCACTCACGAGACAAGCATTCTGGGACTACACCAGAGGGCATGACTGCCTGTTCTTGAAAGAAGAGGTTGTGTATTTCGCACACCCACAAACCAGTGAACAGACGGAACAGTAAGTAAAATCAAGTTCTACCCCCACTCCAGGCAGCTAGCAACACCCCTTCTGTGTTTTAGAACCTTGATTTCATGCCTCAGGACATGCCTCTACAGCAGTGGTTCTCAACCTTCCTAATGCATCAATCCTTCAACTTAGCTCCTCATGTTGAGGTGACCCCCCAACCGTAACATTATTCCCGTGGCTACTTCATCACTATCATTTTGCTACTCTTATGAATCGGGCGACCCCTGTGATAGGGTGGTTCGATCTCCAAAGGGGTCGCAACCCACAGGTTGAGAACCGCTGCTCTCCAGTTTTAGGAAGGTGTGGCACTGCAAGGGAAGTGCTGGCCTGCTAACCAAAACCTCCGCGGTTCAAACCCACCAACTGCTCCATGGCACAAAGAGGGGGGCCGTCTGCTGCGGTAGAGATGTACAGCTTCAGAAACCCCAACAGTCCATTTTTCGCTGTCCTGTGGGGTCACTAAGAATCATCATGATCTTGACAGCAGTGGGCTTAGTTGGTCAGTTTTTTACCGGGCTAGATTTTAAAATTCCAAACAGGACTCTCAAGGTCAAGGACAAACCAAAGGCCTTCGCTAAGAATTGAACCAGTGCCATCTACTCCCCATTATGGAGAAAGGAGGCCTGTTGGCCGGGAGTCAGACATCCCTGTTCTAGTCTTCCATCCTTCACTAACTAGCTGTGCGTCTTCAAGATAGGCCCTTGTCTCAGTGTCCCTACCTGTAAAATGGGAATAATTTGTGCTTCAGCTAATTAATAGGACTTTATATCCCCTTGAGATCATGGCACCATGAAAGACTCTGAGAACCCAACTGCATGGCCAACCCCTGAGACTCAACCCCTAGCTGGTGACAGAGGAGTGGACTAGGTCCATCACGACGCTCAGTGGACTCTGGATGGGCACATCTGGGTCACAAGAGGCACTCCTTCCAGAGGGCTGGGGGCCCCACGTGTGTGTGGCTCTCTCGCCAGTCTCTCCTCTTTCTCTCGAGAGTTCATGGCCGGCAATAACAGTTGCTGTGTATTTGAAAAGGGCTAATTTTGTGTGGAAACCATCTCCACTCTGAGACTTGGGGCCAATTTCCCTTCTTTCAGAATGCTGGAGTTTTCACTGCCAGAGTCCTCTCCTACAGACCTCCTTACAAAGAAGCCATAGAATCAGGTTTTAAGGACCCTCTGAGGTGAGACTCAGGTCTTCAAAAAGACGTATCTGGTTAGAGTATGCTTAGGGTATCGGTTCTGATCCTCAGAGCGGCTCGTCTTGGCCTGAAGTCACACACAGTCATAATCACCTGATGCCCGCAAAGGACCACCAACCACACTTTCCAGAGTGCTAAGGGGGAGTACGGCCAGAGTGCTCCTCAGGGGCAAAGATGGAGAGGCTTCGTCTCACAGGCTTTGGACATGCTGTCCGGAGAGACCAGTCCCTGGAGAAGGACGTCATGCTTGGCAGAGCAGAGGGGCCCTCCTGAGAAGAGCTGACGCCAGGGCTGCAGCAATGGGCTCAGCAGGCCTGGGAACGATTGTGAAGATGTGCAGGAGAGGGCAGTGTTTCATCCTGTCCCACAAAGGGCCGCTATGGGTTGGCACCTAACCACAAGGGAGACTTGCCAGGGGCCAGAGGTGAATGGAGGAGTTAAGGAGGCCTTTCTTCTACAGACGGACCTTGACCCAGGGCTGCCACTGGGCTTGTCTTTGTCTCCATGGTAACCCATCCTGGAGGCTGGGCTGTCCGGCTAGTGGTCACTGAACTTGACGTTAACCTAGTTGACTACAAAGGCGGCTGATGAGCCAAAAAAGAGTCTAAGTGGGCCTGACTCAATGAAAGAAAAACAACCAACAGAGTAGCTGGCTTGGAAGAGGGAGCTGTGGTGCGTTTCAGGGCAGCTCTGTTTCCATAAAAAAAAAAAAAAAAAAAGAAACAAGCCCCAAACCCTCCAAGCTCTTGAGGCACAATTCCTTCTGTTCAGACTCTTCCCCAAGGGACTAGTTCTCCCGGCGCGCTCATAGGTACAGGGGAACGAGCAGCTGCCACGCGCCTCTGGTAAAGGTGCTGTGAAGACGTGGGTGACAATCTCCACACAGTGTCCCCGGAGCCGTGTCACTGCTGGGGTCCCTGTGTGGCCGGTACCACCCTGCCCCTTCCCAGGAGTCCTGGAGCAGGCATCAGAGTGGGATGCTCCGTCAGCCCCTCGGAGAACGTACTTCAGCGCAGCGCGTGGCATGGCCCGAGAGCCAGCACAGGGCTCAGGGCAGCTGCCCCTGTTTCCCCCCACCCAAGGATCTGAAGACTTTCCGTGAGGGGTCAGATGCAGGTGGCAAAAAGGCGACTCCCCCAAGTTCTGTGTTGTTCCCCTACCTCGCTGGCTCACACAATGACCGCAATGCCTCCCCTGACACAACACAGCTAGCCAGATGGAGGCAAGGCCCAGGGCAGGAGCGCTCACAGGGGTTCCATGTGGCAGGCCTGGCAGGCCATGCCACCGTCCCTGCTCACTACTCAGAGCGACCGGCACGCCCGGATACAGCTGGCTTCCTGCCTCACGAGGAAGACCTGGCCATGACAGAAGAGGGGGAGATGAAGGCACCAGGGCAGACTTCATCTCACCCAGGCCCAAACTCACCCCATACAGCATGTCCCACAGGCTGGTGCCTCCGCCGGCAGCATTCATTTCAGTACCGAGTTCATGGCCCAGGGCTGCTTCCTTGGGCACCTCCCAGCCCCGCCCCTCCTCCAGCCTAAAGCCGACCACCCCAAACCCACCGGGGCCGCTCTACCTTGCAAGCCGTCAGCATGTCGGACACGGCGTTCCGGCTCAGGTTGGCTGTGGCGATCACGTCCTCCTGTCGACACGAGTTCCCAGCTGCCACCGCCTTGGCTGTTGCCATGGTGATGCCTTTCGTCATCCTTATCGACTCTTCAGGTGACGATGTCTTTTCAGGTACCTCCTTTGACTGGAACACCTGGACATTAGACACAGGGGCGGGGGGTGTTGAAACAAAGCAAAACAAAGCACAAAGGAAGAGACAGAAACACTGGATGCTGACCAGGCTTGCAGCCCTCGTGTCTGGAAACTACACCTGCGATGGGAAGACACTGTCAGATGGCAGGAAATTAGAAATTTAATTTGGCCGCAGTACTCTCTCTCTCTCATGCTTTCTAGATCCTTGCCCTGATACACCTCCAAACCTCCACCCTTGGCATTCACAGGAACAACCTCGACAGGGTTAACCCCTCCATGGGCAGAAACTGACAGCTACTGTTTGCACTCTCTGTCCTGGGAGAGCTCTC